AATTTATTTATTTATTTTAGTAATTAAATATATTTAAATCATAGATTTATATAATTTGATCACAAATTAACGATTTAATTCGTCAATTATTATTTTTTGTCACAAATCAGAAATTTTATGTTACAATTTATTTTACGATTACAGTTCAAAAATTTTATAGGTCACAGTTTGTTCATCGGTCACAAATCTAAAAATTTATAAGTCACGATTTATTTATTGGTCACGAATCACAAATATTACAAGTCACGACTTATTATACAATCACAAATTATCAAATTATTGTCACAAATTAACAATTTTTTAGGCCACACATTATTTTTCGGTTATAATTTATCTTTTTGATTGGTCACACATTATTTTTCGGTCACAATTTATCTTTTTCATTAGTCACATATTATTTATTGGTTACAGATCAACCAATTTAATGATCACAGTCAACCAAATAATTTGTGACCACCACCAACACTTACGATTCACTGTCACAATTTTCAAGTCACGTATCCAACTATGAGTCACAAATCAACCAAATCGGCACGACCATCACCTTGACCACCAAAACTGCTACGATCAACTGTGACTCCCAAATTATGAGTTACAATTGGGACTCACAATCGCAAATTTCAGGTCACGGGTCCAATTATTTGTCACAAAATCAACCAAACCGCCATGACCACCACAATTACCACAATCCACCACCATGACCACAACAACCACTGTTATAAACCAATGCAAAACCACTGCAAAACAATACAAAACTATCATCGGCTCCACCGTCACCACCAGAAGCCACCACGATCGTCGCCACCAAAGACACCAACTTAGCACCACAAATTGCCAGAGCCACCATCAGGTCGCCAATACCACTGCACCCTTTCACAACAGCAGATCCAACCACCGCACCTTACACAATAGTCAACACGGCAACAACGTCAAACCACCACTCCCACAGCCCACGACACTGCAGAACTACAACAAATGGCACTATCGTCGCATTGTCTCTCAAGGAAGAGCACACAGCAGACCCGCCACATCGTGCGACAACAAAACATCAGATCGTGCAACGATCTCATTGGTGGTGATTTCCGATAGTGGCTCCTAGGGACGATGAGTTCGTAATAGCCTTCTAGCGATGACGAGTTCACAGTAGCCTTAGTGTTGCCATTTGAGGCAGCTATGAACGACAGAGGCTACAACAAAGTCGTCACGAGGGCATCATAGTGCCGCTCACGGAGGTCCTCCGGTGGCACTTTCTTGTCTTTCGGCGAGATTGGGGAGAAATTATTGGTAGAGAGAGAGAGAGAGAGAGAGAGAGATGGAATTGAGATTGATATAATTAGGGTTTGAAATTGCTTAATTAATTTTTAAATATATAAATTAATTAAAAAAATTCTGATTTGTGAAATATTAAACATTGCACTTTATTTACGAAATGGAGATTTTTAATCTATTAGAATATGTAATTTCCACTTGAATTATTATTCTAGCTTTAATCTTTTTGAGGAATTGTGATCATGGGCTCGAAGCATGACTTCAA